ATCTCTCTGCTGTGGGCAGCCTCCCTTTCTTTTTCTTTGGCTGCTTGTGCATCCAAGGTAAGTCACATTGTTTAGGCCATCTCCATCTGTCTGAGTTCTACCCGTCTTTCATGTTTCTTTTGTTTTTCCTTAGCCCCAAATCTGGCTAATTCCAGCTTCTGTTGAGTATTGCTTTCTGTCATTCTAACCTCTCTGTTTTTAACCTAGCTATACCTGAGAGTTAGAAAGAAAAAAATACCTGGCTTATAAAATTTTGCTGTGCTGTAACCTGATACCTATTTTCTCTGATAGTTGTTCTCAGCCTACAGAAAAATCCTTTTGTTATGCCTGCTGCTCTGTCCCCCAGGCAGAGAGACAGAATCTACAGCTGCAATCACCTTTTACAAAACCTTTTAAAATCCTGCTGTGCTTCTGGTTCAAGCTTATTCTTACCAGCTTAGGTTAAAAACTTCCCCAAGGTACAAACTTTGCCTTGTCCTTGAACTGTATGCTGCCACCACCAAGACTTTAAACAAAGAACAGGGAAAGAGCCCACTTGGAGATGTCTTCCCCCAAAAAATATCCCCCCAACCCCTACACCCCCTTTCCTGGGGAAGGCTTGATAAGAATCCTCACCAATTTGTACAGGTGAACACAGACCCAAACCCTTGGATCTTAAGAATAATGAAAAATCAATCAGGTTTTTAAAAGAAGAATTTTAATTAAAGAAAAGGTAAAAGAATCATCTCTGTAAAATCAGGAGGGTAAATACCTTACAGGGTAATCAGATTCAAAACACAGAGAATCACTCTAGGCAAAACCTTACGTTACAAACAGACACAAAAACAAAAATATACATTCCATCCAGCACAGCTTATTTTACCAGCCATTAAACAAAAGGAAATCTAACACATTTCTAGCTAGATTACTTACTAACTTAACAGGAGTTGTGAGGCTGCATTCCTGATCTGTTCCTAGCAAGAGCATCACACAGACAGACCAAACCCTTTGTTCCCCCCACCTCCAGATTTAAAAAAATCTTGTCCCCTAAGTGGCCATTTTGAGTCAGGTGCCAGCGGAGTTACCTTAGCTTCTTAACCCTTTACAGGTGAAAGGATTTTGCCTCTGGCCAGGAGGGATTTTATAGCACTGTATACAGAAAGATGGTTACCCTGCCCTTTATATTTATGACAGGGGGTATGACAGGAAGCGCACACTGAGGCAGATAATAGCCTTAAAGACCTTTTATTAAGATAAATGAAGTAGTAATTGCATGGTAAAATAAACAGAGTTACAAAGTTACAATTGTATTACTGCTATTTAAAAGATGCATATGGTATTATGGTATTATATGCTACAAAGGTTTGATTATATACTTACATCCTTTCTTGATAACCTGGTAGTGAGAGACACAGGACCAGCCTCGCCTCTGGCAGTTTAGGTTCCTCAGTTCTTGAGTGAGAGGTGCAAAGCTTAGAAGAAGCTAGAGCTAAGAGCAGTCAAAGCTAAATTAGAGTTAACTTAACTAACTTAAACTTAAAATTAAAACCTAATAAACAAAACTAAGAACAAAGCTTAGGGAAACGAAGCTTAGCCTAGTTCCTTTGGAACTTAGAAAGTTTAAGAAAAACAAGTACAGATTCCCCTAGCAAGGTGGGTCACTTCTTTTATAGGGCACAGGTGCCTGAACCCTCCTTCTATGCCCAAACTTCATTTCTCACCCACAAAAATGTTAGGGTACACTTACTCCATAGGCCAGTATGTTTGCACATACAGATGACATGTACATACATATTAATGACATTAGATCATACACACGTTATTTTTTGTTCTCCTGGTTATTTCGGTTCTTTCCTTGTGGTGTACCTGTTAAGTTTGAGGGTACAGACTTGGAAACCCCCTATGCCATTCTACCATTATCTATCTATCTAGGTGAAAGGTCTCAGACATATGTGTGTGTGTTAACTTTGCTATTTGGTGGAAGGTCCGAGACATAGATATGCTAACTTTACCTTAGCTCAACATACATGATATGGCCTGTAGGTCCCTTGCATTGCAGCCAAATTTACTTTAATATAAATCTATAGACCTGTTACAATAAACCAAATACTTAAACTATAAGAAAAGATACATATATATGCAAGCAAGCAGGTTAATCCTATAGGCTACACACCCCCGCTTTGATGGGGTGATTTGCAACAATGAATCCCATCACATAGGTATGGATGTAGGTGGTTAAGTATTTGAGGGGACAGTTTTAATACCATTCTTTTTTGGTGGGGGTGGAGAAAGGGTATTATAAAGATGGTATTCTGGACCCTGGCACGTTTTTGGAGTGGGCACCATGTATACATATTTATTATTTTTAACATTTGGTACCTGTCTAGATATTTGCTTGGGCCTGTTGGATTTATACTGCAGGCATTCTAAAATAAGGAAATTAATCCCAATTGCAATTCCTTGGATAATAACCAATTTTTTTAATTCAAAAATTTTCCTGGGAGTTGTTGCAGGCTTATTACCCTCATTTATTAACTGGGTAATAGCTTGTTTGTCTTTTTTCATATCATTAGTAATTTGTATGAGGTGGGTCTCCTTATGAGCCAATAATGACTTTAACTGTAACCCTAAGTGGGGGAATGTAGACAAGAAAGGTGGGTGTACTGTGGATAGTTAAATTTATAGGTTGGGTTGGACTGGATAATGGTGATGTTTTTAAAAGTGGGAACAGGAGGAATAGCTTGATTCCCTATTAAAGTGGGTTGCTTTGGAGTAAAACAAAAATTTGGCTTTGTGACAGGACACTTCAAGCGACCATATTGGTACCTCTTTTGATTGGTAACCATGCAAAATTGGATATTTTCAGCATAGGGCACCCTCTTCATTGGAGTCTTTTACTTGGTCAGCCTCACTAGGCATGACGATGATGAATTTTGTAATTTTTTTGCCTTCAGTCCACACAGAACAGTGTTTGTTTTAAACACGTTACACCTACAGATATACTGAGGCCCTTTTTTAGAGCAACAGGCTATCTGTGGTACTTTTCAGGTTTGAGTTGAAGTGTGATAGACCACCAAGGGAGGTGCATTAATGCGTTTCCTATAGATGTCACCTTTGAGGTGACCTGTAGAGTGGACAGCTACCAATTGCCTGTGCACATCCTTGTTTGGGTCAAATACTGGTAATGAGACTGTGAATTAGACATACAGGGGTCGTGCCATCCTATAATCTTTAGAAAGAGAACAACCATCTTGGTTGGGGTGAGGTGTCAGATCCCATCTCTCTCACAGCACCCACTGATAAATGCTGGCATGAATCCAAACATGTGGATTGTTCCTTTTCCAGCCTTTGAAAACATTTGGGACAGTACCAACTTAACAGTTGCTTATTTTTAATTAAGTTAGGAACCTTTCCCAATTTTAAGGATTGTAATGTATTCGTGATTGCATTTACAACATATTTTCCATATGCAGAGCATATAATTTTCTTTTCTAAATGTTGATTTCTGTGCTGATTATTGTTTAAGGCAATTAGCTGATTAATTTTATGTTGGGTCTTATTAAATAGTTGGGTTATGTCATGCATATTATAAACAGTAAATTGCTTTTTTGTGACAATTTTTTTATTTTCTGTAACATTGGATTGACCACTTGGTTGGCTTCCTCTTGTAACACATAATTAATATGTTTGTGAATTTTTTATGTATTTGCTTGGTTTTAAATCGACACTTCTGAACCAAATAGTCCTGTTAGGAATCCTAAACTTTTAAGAAGATTTAAGCTATGCTTTCTCCTAGAAGTATGTGGTTTATGGATTTTATTATCCATCCCCAACAGAACAATATCTTGCACTTGTTGTTGATAGGCTGCAATCCTATCCACAAATTGTACTGAGAAAAAGGAAGCCACTTTGGTATGCTGACAATAGCTAAATTCTCCTAGATACAAATTAGACAAATTTAACACTACAGGAATAAGCATAAATGGAACCTGATTATAGTCTCACCACAACTCCCATAATCGGAAAAGTAATTAAACAGGTGCTGGGTTTATCATTGGACAAGTTACATTATTTGATATTGGATTGTTATAATTGTAGTTAATAATTGGATCCCGAACCTTACGTTTAAATGTTACATTTAGTACATATCTTTTGCTTCCTGATTTGGTTTGAAAATTAGCTATAATGACCACTTTATATTGTTCTTTATCCTTATATTTATGTTTATGTAAGGTTAAACTCCCCCCTCCATCAGATTATTACAAATGGCTTTGTTATTTTTAAGTTTTATAAGGTATTCTGTGTTTCAGGGAAGATGAATTTTTTGGTGAGGAGGTATAGGTTTTATATCCTCCCTCCTTTGAGTTATTATCTAAAGGCCAAATTTTTTTTCCAGCCACTGGATGGCAACGAGATTACTCCAACCAATTGATATTTAAAGGTGACATTTTTCCCTTTAATTCCCTTAACCTGGTGGATAGGACTGTGGATAAGTTCTAGGTTGAGTATAATAGTTTGTTTCTTTTGTGTTGATATGTTTTGAGCAATTGAGCATGCCCGTGTTGTTTGGTTTTATGGGGTTGTAACAGTTTAGTCCCAAATTTGTGATTTGGGCTTAGTCTTACCCTTAGAGTAACGATAATGGCGTAATAAATTAGAAATATTAATGTCCATTTTATGGTTGCAATTTGCTGGACTTCGGCTGTCGCGATTCTGTCGGATGCTGTTTATTTAAGTTTTGAGGAGGAAGTTGCTTCTGCAACCTGAATGATTGTTACAGCTTTAACTGATTAGCATGGTAGATTCTGTTTTTATTACGCTTGCCTCCTGTTATCCTAATTTTACACACTGCTGAACTGAGTTTATTGATGACTTGGAAGGGTCCAATCCATCGGTTACACAGCCCATGCTCTGGTGCTTTATATGATAACAGCATTACTTGGTCTTCAACCTTCCAAGTATTTTGTTGTTGTTGTTGTCAAAGTAAGCCTTTGCTTTTTGTCTGGATTTCCCCAATTTAGGAGCTACCGGCAAGTGGACCTGATTTAAATGTTTTTGCAGATTTTGCAAGTAGGTATTTATTTTTATTTCCTCTAATTGAATGCCACTGGTGTGCCAAATTAAATGTTCTGGTAATTGCATCGTTCAGCCTGTCATTACTTTAAAGGGTGTTTTATCAGTAGATACAGCCGGTGTTGCTCTCAATGCCATTAAAATTAGAGGCATGAGAGTGTTCCAGTTACGCCCATTGGAATCAACCAGTTTTCTTAACATTACTGTTATAGTTTGATTGGTTCATTCCACCATCTCAGAGGACTGTGGTTTGTATGGGATGTGTAGTCTCTGTGGGACTTCCATTAATTTAAGGCAGTCCCTAAAGAACTGTCCAGTGAAATGTGATTCCTGGTTCGATTACACCTTTGCAGGGATTCCCCATCTAGAGAAGACTTGCTCTACTAGGATCTTGGCAGTGGCTTTTGCAGTATTGCAAAAGAGGAAATGCCTCTACCCACTTTGAAAAAGGATTGACAGCCACTAACAGATATTGGTTACCTCTTTGAGTCCTTGGCAAAGGACCTACAAAGTCAATCTGCAAAGCCACTTAAGGACCTTTACACACCTGAGATTTTAATGGCACATTTCTTTTGGATGGAGTTGGATTGGCTTGAGCACATTCCAGACAGTTATTACAATATTGTTGCACATTCCTCCTAAGAAGTGGCTACCATCCCACAGATGCAAGATGCTGGACAGTTTTGTTCACTCTTTGGTGTCCTCCTAAAGGAGTTTAATGAACCTTGAACATCATTTCCCTACGTAAATGAGCTGGAACTACCCATACAGGGAAAGGAACTCCTGTATACATGAGAACTCCATTCACTACCTGCAAATGTTGCTCATATCTTCTCTACTGTTAGCGACCCTTCTTCTTTTATTTGGGAAAGCTTTTTGATTACTTTTACTATGTCTTTATCAGATGTTTGCATCTCTTTTAAATTCAGTATGTCAGCCTGTGCAACTTTAGTTGTGGCAATAGGTCATCTGGGACTAGGGGTAGTAACAGAATATTCCTGATCTTTTTCTTTCCAGAATTTTCCTGATTGGGCTTCTTCTCGGGCTAATTTATTAGCCTTTCCATTTTTTGTAGCATAGGGTTTTAATTTTTAGTGGGCTTTTATTTTTTTTACTTTAATTGGCCACCCTGGAACAGTGATTGTTACTTCTAACCAGCGGATGTATTTCATCAGCGATGCATACCTAATAGGTGAGCCATCAGAAGATGTGAACCCATTTGTCTTTCAACATGGCAGAAACTCTGTAAGAGAACTGCATACCCATGAGGAGTCTGAAAATAGACAGATACTTTGGTATGTGGTGGTGGTGATGGAGAACTGCACACAGTACTCCAACACACAAGCCACCGCTGCTAATTTAGCATACTGAGATGAATGTGGAATGCATGAATATGCCTTCTCCCAAGGCTCTCCTTTTCCCTTGGGAAGAACTGCATAGATTCCAAACCTGGTATAAGGTTTGCCTTGATGGTAATAACTAGAACTGTTAACAAAGAAATGACAGCTGCAGCGGCACAGGAGCCAGCAAACAGAGCTATAAACAGGGGAGTCTGAGGGGGAGTTTGTAAGGGGGAGTTTGTCTTGTGGTGCTTGTTGGGGGTTTGTTTTTGCTGTGGGGGGTGGGGTTTTGGTGGGGTTTGTGTTTCCCAGATTAACAGGGTTTAGGTGGGAAGGCGATGACAGATACAGAGGCAGCAGTGGGAGTGACCCATGTAGTGGAAGACACAATGAGGATGACTGGATGTGGAAGCTGCGGTATGTCCATGATCCTGGAGGGGCACCTGATAAGAGTTTTGTCTGCATGAAATGCCATCTGATAGAGCTGATGGAGGAAAAGATCCGAGGTTTGGAGATGCAGGTGGAAAGTCTGGTTGAGTTTAGAAAGGGGTTTGAGCAGATTATGGAGCAAAGACATGAGGTATCTGAAGGGGAAAGCTCTGACTTGCAGATGGAAGCAGGACTGAGGAATTCTGAGGGGAGGCTGGGTGAGGAAAGTGGTCAGTGGAAGCATGTGACTAAAAGAACCAGGCAGAGGAAAAGATGGGCTAGTGAAGGAGGAATAGAGCTCAAGAACAGGTTTGCAGAGTTGGAAAATGAAGAAGGGTCTCAGCAGGTAGTCACTGAAGGTGGAAGGGCAAGGAAGAAGAGAAGAGAGGCTAGTTGTCAAGGTTCCTCCCCCACTCTGAACTCTAGGGTACAGATGTGGGGACCTGCATGAAAAAACCCCCTAAGCTTATCTTTACCAGCTTAGGTCAAAACTTCCCCAAGGTACAAAATATTACACCCGTTATCCTTGGAATGGCCGCTACCACCACCAAACTAATACTGGTTCCTGGGGAAGAGCTGTTTGGACGCGTCTTTCCCCCCAAAATACTTCCCAAAACCTTGCACCCCACTTCCTGGACAAGGTTTGGTAAAAAGCCTCACCAATTTGCCTAGGTGACTACAGACCCAGACCCTTGGATCTTAAGAACAATGAACAATCCTCCCAACACTTGCACCCCCCCCTTTCCTGGGAAATGTTGGATAAAAAGCCTCACCAATTTGCATAGGTGACCACAGACCCAAACCCTTGGATCTGAGAACAATGAAAAGCATTCAGTTTTTACAAGAAGACTTTTAATAAAAAATAGAAGTAAATAGAAATAAAGAAATCCCCCCTGTAAAATCAGGATGGTAGATATCTTACAGGGTAATTAGATTCAAAAACATAGAGAACCCCTCTAGGCAAAACCTTAAGTTACAAAAAAGATGCACAGACAGAAATAGTTATTCTATTCAGCACAATGCTTTTCTCAGCCATTTAAAGGAATCATAATCTAACACATACCTAGCTAGATTACTTACTAAAAGTTCTAAGACTCCATTCCTGTTCTGTCTCTGGCAAGAGCAGCAGACAGACAGACACAGACCCTTTGTTCCTCTCCCTCCTCCCAGCTTTTGAAAGTATCTTGTCTCCTCATTGGTCATTTTGGTCAGGTGCCAGTGAGGTTACCTTTAGCTTCTTAACCCTTTACAGGTGAGAGGAGCTTTCCCTGGCCAGGAGGGATTTCAAAGGGGTTTACCCTTCCCTTTATATTTATGACACGCCCCCAAATCTCAGCTAGGGTGAAACACTGGCTGGGATTTCTTCCTGGAGCTCTAGGAAAACAGAGTTAATAAGACACATGCATCTCTAAATATACTACCAAGTACATAAAGACTAACAATATTTTCCACATCTCAAGGACGATTTTAACCAGTTGATTCTGGGAAACTTTCACGGGAGAGTGCATCAGCCACTTTGTTAGAAGCTCCTGAGATGTGTTGGATATCGAAATCAAAATCTTGGAGAGCTAAACTCCACCGAAGAAGTTTTTTGTTAGTTTCCTTGACGGTGTGAAGCCACTTCAGTGCAGCATGGTCGGTTTGCAGGTGGAAACGCCGTCCCCAAACATATGGGCGTAGCTTTTCCAGAGCGTAGACAATGGCATAACATTCTTTTTCAGTGACTGACCAGTTGCTTTCCCTCTCAGACAGTTTTTTGCTGAGAAACACTACAGGGTGGAATTCTTGATCAGGTCCTTTCTGCATTAAAACTGCTCCCACACCACGCTCGGATGCATCTGTGGTTACTAGGAACGGTTTGTCAAAGTCTGGGGCCCTTAGTACAGGGTCAGACATGAGTGTCGCTTTAAGCTTGTTAAAGGCCTTCTGACACTTTCCGGTCCACTGAACAGCATTTGGCTGTTTCTTTTTGGTTAGGTCTGTCAGTGGGGCAGCGATTTGGCTGTAGTGCGGTACAAATCGTCTGTAATAACCGGCCAAGCCTAAGAAGGATTGAACCTGTTTCTTTGACTTTGGGACAGGCCACTTTTGGATAGCATCCACTTTGGCCTGTAGGGGGCTGATAGTTCCTTGACCCACCTGGTGTCCAAGGTAAGTCACTCTGTTTAGGCCTATTTGACACTTCTTAGCCTTAACAGTTAGTCCTGCCTCCCTTATGCGCTCAAGGACTTTTTGTAGATGTTCCAGGTGGTCTGCCCAGGAATCCGAAAATATGGCCACGTCGTCAAGGTAGGCGACTGCATATTCTCCTAATCCCGCTAGGAGACCATCTACAAGTCTTTGGAAAGTGGCGGGTGCATTTCGCAGCCCGAAAGGGAGTACATTAAATTCATACAGCCCGAGATGTGTGATGAAGGCTGACCTTTCCTTGGCAGATTCATCTAGCGGTACCTGCCAGTACCCCTTGGTTAAGTCCAAGGTAGAGATGAACTGGGCCCGTCCCAGTTTCTCTAATAGTTCATCTGTGCGTGGCATTGGATAGTTGTCTGGGCGAGTTACAGCATTTAGCTTACGGTAGTCCACGCAAAAACGTATTTCCCCATCTGGTTTGGGAACTAGAACCACTGGAGATGCCCATGCACTTTCAGAGGGGCGGATTATCCCCATCTGTAACATATCCTGGATCTCCCGTTCTATAGCAGTTTTAGCTTGAGGAGACACCCGGTAAGGTTGGACCCTAATTGTGTGAGCATTACCTGTGTCAATGGAGTGGTATGCCCGTTCAGTCAGTCCTGGGGTGGCTGAGAACGTTGGCGCGTAGCTAGTGCACAGCTCCTGGATCTGCTGTCGCTGCATACGCCCAAGGGTCATGGAGAGGTTCACCTCTTCCACACCACCAGCACATTTCCCTTCGTAGTAAACACCTTCAGGCCACTCAGCGTCGTCTCCTCCCTGGGCTGTAAACTGACAAACCTTCAATTCTCTGGAATAAAAGGGCTTTAGAGAATTAATATGGTACACCTTAGGCTTTCGGTTGGAGGTGGGGAATGCTATGAGATAATTAACAGCTCCCAGGCGCTCCTGGACCATGAATGGCCCTTCCCACGATGCTTCCATTTTATGGGCCTGGAGCGCCTTTAAGACCATGACCTGGTCTCCTACTTTGAAGGAACGCTCTCTGGCATGTTTATCATACCAGGCTTTTTGCTCTTTTTGAGCATCCTGTAA